CGTTTCGATTCGGTTTGGCTCGTTTCAGAACGGTTTAATTGACATCGGTGCGCCCTAAAACGAGAAATTTTCCTCGTTGCGCTAACACCTGACGGAGCTCAGTTTCGCGTCGCCAGCCCGCTATGGCCGCAACTAACCTTCCAACGATTCGTCGAATAGTTTCGGTAACAATCGGCTCTATTCCTGCAGCGCAGAAATGCTGTAACTTGACAGATGCGCATCGATTCCGCACACTTCACAGAGTAAGAATCACAGCTGTGGGCGGAATGGCGGGCACTGTTGGCACCATGAAATCAATGAACAATCTGAAACGATGGCGCACTTTTGTGCGAATGAACTACACCTTACCCTCGCCAATTTCAACACCTGGGCCCGGATCGCGTCCTTGTCGTTTTGCCCTGGGGTTGAAATTGGTGGGAACAGAGAAGTTCCCACCAATTTCAACACTCTGACGGAACATTTAATGGTTTCGAACTATTCTGACCCATGTTAGAGCGGCTTTACTCGGTTCTGGGTGGTGAAGTGATGTTGCCTGGACCTCGCCCAGGACCACAGGTGGCGACAAAGGGGTTGAAATTGGCAGGGATTGAAGTAGGCGAGGGACAGGTGTATAGCCAATCGGTTGGCTTGAGTGTTGAGAAAGAAATTGGGGAAAGAGAAGACGACGAAACGGGATCTAACGGCTATGATTGAGGGAAACTGAAGGCGGTGGTTTTGCTGGCTGGTAGCAAGGTGATACATGTGCGCCCTGTCAGTTTGACGGCAGGGATCTTCCCATCGTTTGATCCGGGTAACAGATGGCTTGGGCAAGTGAGTCAACCGACGACATGAGTGACGTGTAGGACACGTAATGACGTACCCACCGTGTTTGCAAGGGTACGAGTACACGCCATCACAATGAGAAGGGAAAATCTTCCATAAGTAACCAAATTGGGACTCGATAACGTGAATGGAAACAAAAAAAACGCGTACGGTCACTGTATCGGGTTTCCTGACGGGTCTGGTAAGTGGGGTCACGGATTCAGTCACTAACAACAGGTAAAAAATCATGCGAATGGTCATACATGTAACTCCCGCCAAAAAAACTTAAAAACTCGAATGGTCAGACAAAATTCCGCCCAACCAATCTGCTAACTTCTAAAAAAACTAAAACCCAATCGGAATCGGATGCGGTTTGGGAACGGATCAACCCTAACTAAACACCTGGCGAGTTACGTGTTTAGGGTTGATTCATCCGAAAATGCATCCAGGTTCTTTTGGGGGTTTCATTTTGTTTTGGCGGGAGTTTCATCTATGACCATTTGCGTTTTTTTTTTACCACTTGATAGTGACTGATGATGTGAAACGTTCTATCAGTCGCATGACAACACCCTTTGCAGTGACCGTACCCTTCATTTTTTAACTAAAAATGTTATCAAGTCCCATGATGGTTACGAATGGCATATTTTTCCCGATGAGAAGGACAAAGTTTGTGATACAGATTCATATCACATTGATAGCCCTACCAAACAAAACTTGGCACCCATCATTCCACCAAACCCTACACATGTCATTTTCTAGACAGTTAATACTAACTTCAGGCATCATACACACGATAGGCAGCCAGAACCTGTTCGCGGCAAATGGGGCACGGCGAATGTTCCACCCAAACCACCCGCGAACACGACAAGCAACACGCGCGGTGGCCACACGGGATGAACACGGCCTTGCGCTTGCGATGCAGACACACCACACAGAGCTCCCCGCTCTGCGCCTCCTCTTCTCCCCCCACCTCCTCCTCATCCGCATCCCCACCGCGAATCAGATTCTCCAAGCTCCTCTCTAACTCCAAGGTTGAAGCTGCTAGTGCCCTGACATGTGAGGCATGGATCATGCCACCTTGGGCCCGCAACCATCGCCATCCAGTACTTACCACTCCTGCTCCTGTTGCTGCTGCTGCGTCTGCTCCTTCTCCTGCTCCTGCTCCTGCCGCCACTCCTGCTCCTGCTGTTGCTCCTGCTCCTGTTACTGCTGCTGCTCCTGCTCCGGCTGCTGCTCCTGCTGCTGCTCCTGCCTCTACTCCTATTACTGCTGCTGCTCCTGCTCCTGTTACTGCCCCAGCCGCTCGTGCCTGCTGCTGCAATTCCAGAATATTTATCATCCTGCTTTCCAACTCTGCCTGCTCCGCATCCTGCTGCTGTTGCTGCAGCCTAGATTGCTGGCGACGATTTTCCCTGGTAGGGCAAGGGGGAGGAGATGGGGGTAATGGATGAAAAGTAATAAGAGAAAATGACATCAGGTGAGGGTATGGGAGAGAGGATGAGAGGAGAGGAGAGGAGATGAAAGGAGATGAGAGGGGAGGAAAGGAGAGGGAGGAGCGGAGAGGTGAGGAGAGGCGAGGAGAGGAGAGGAGAGGAGAGCAGGTGTCTTCACCGTGTAAGCACCCACGTGTACGTGCATCCACAACCCCAATCATTAGACATTGCATACAACCACCCTCCTACGATCCCTCCTCTCATCTGCCTTCCCACTCATCCACTTAGCCGCCCATCCCCCCATTTCCACATCCACCCATCCACCCATCCACACATCTCATCACCAACACGCACGCACCACCACAGAGCAAAGCCAACGAGGCCCACAGCAGCAGCAGAGAGCAGCAGGCACCATCCCAGCAGCACCCCCCACTCGCGATTCAGCCTCTGCAGCATGCCCACCTTGGTGCCAGAGAACCTGTGGGGAGGTCGAAGAAAGAGGGAGACGGGGAGTGCGGTTAGGGTAATAACAGAGAACCTGGGGGATGAGGGAGAAAGGGGGAGGGGTTTGATTCGGTTTAGGTAGTAGAATCAACAGCACGGATGGTAATTCCGCAAGCATGGCTGTCTTGGTGCCAGAGAAGCTGGGGGGTTGGGAGGAGGGGGGAAATTGAGGCTAGGGTGGTATCATCAACAGCACTGATGGCTATACCGGCCAGGAAAGACAAAGCAACAGACCCGATAGGGGCGGGAAGAGGAGAATGGAAAGAACGAAAAGAGAGAAGACATGGCCAGTGGCATGACGGAAGCAAGGAGGATGCATTGAAGCCACCAGAAGCAAGCCTATATGCAGCTACAGGTGAAATAGGCAAGGGAGGTTACGTTGCATCTTTAGACTGACTTTGCATCTAAAGATCCTACGTCGCATCTTTGCTGGTTCAGCTCCGTGCAGAATCAGCCCAGAGCATCCTACTTGGGTGGATGGGTGGATGGGTGGATGTGGAAATGCGCAAAGTCAGCGCAGAGGATCTTGGGGAAGGAAAGAAGCAGGGTGAGAGATGGTAACATGCATGTACATGCTGCTGAAGGGAGGAAGTGCGGTTGGAGGGGTTACACAGAGAAAGTAGGGAGATTTTGAAGAGAATGTATTTACTCCACTCAAAAGTGACCACGTTACTCACAGGAAGTCAGGGGTTTTTGAAGGGTCCCATGGTCAAGGGAAGCACTCACAGGAAATAGGGGAGTTTGGGGGAAGCAAAGATGGCAGGTCGACCGTCGGATCCGAATCTCACGTGGCCGACAGCTGTCACCTCGTGATTGATCAGCAGCACCCTTTCATCGGTGCGCAGGCCCGGCTGGTGGGAGGGGGTGATGAGTGGTGGGAGGGGGTCATGAGTGGTGTGTGAAGAAAGGAGATGGCCACAAAACCCTGTTGCGTGCACAGCACAAGCCCACCTGGGGAAGGCATATGTGTGGAATAGGTACTCATTAATTCACTAATTAATTCACAAGTTAACGAACCTTCACTGATTGAGCTAACCACACAACAGCCGTCTTCTCGAGCTGAACGAGTCCTGGGTCCTGGTCCAGAGTTGAATTGAACAGAACAGAGCATAACTTTCACGAGAGCATCTAGATGGTTTTGCCTTGTGGATGTGACTATACACCGTGTGCAGCGGCAGGGGCTGTGAGGCGCCCGCCAGTGAGATGTCGACACGTGGCGATGATGGGTGGGAGGCATCTGCTAAGGAGAAAGGGATCTGAGGAGCGGTGAGGGGGGAGAGGACAAGGAGAGGGAGAGGAAGGAGAGGGGGAGAAAGAGGGAACGGCAGGGGGGCTGAGAGGAGGGGATAGGAAAAGAGGAATGAGGCGGAGGTAGGGTAAAGGGGTAATAAAAAAACAAAAAAGACTTAAACAAACAACAACCACCAGCCAGCGGGGACGAACAAGAGCTGTTGCAGAGTGCAGCAGAGGCGAATCCGTTTCCTCATGCTGAATGGAAATCTGTAACTCACGAATTCGAGACGTCTCAAAATGCTGAATGGAAATCTGTAACTCACGAATTCGAGACGTCTCAAAATGCTGAATGGAAATCTGTAACTCACGAATTTGAGACGTCTCAAAATGCTGAATGGAAATCTGTAACTCACGAATTTGAGACGTCTCAAAATGCTGAATGGAAATCTGTAACTCACGAATTTGAGACGTCTCAAAATGCTGAATGGAAATCTGTAACTCACGAATTTGAGACGTCTCAAAATGCTGAATGGAAATCTGTAACTCACGAATTTGAGACGTCTCAAAATGCTGAATGGAAATCTGTAACTCACGAATTTGAGACGTCTCAAAATGCTGAATGGAAATCTGTAACTCACGAATTTCCGGAACAGGATGCTGTACTGATCTGGCCCGGTGAGCCAGCCGTTCAGGAGTTTTGTATCCAGAACCTGTGCCAAGGGGGTGAATCGTGAAGGGGCAGCATGGAGTGGAATGGCATGGGGTGAAGGGAGGGGGGGGAAGCATGGGGCAAGGGAGTAAGCATGGGAGGCGGCAAGGGAGGGGTAAATGGGGCAAGTGAGAGGGAAACAGAAGGGGGCATGGTCAAGGCTAAGGGGTTGTAGACTTCTACAAGCATATGTCCCGCACTCCATCCCACACTCACCGTCTCCATCCTATCCACGATGGCACATGGCTGCTTCACGCCGTGTTCTGGCAGCAACGGGAGAGGGTCGAGCATCCACCCAAGCCCGAACCGCTGCAGGATTG